CTGAATTATTTTCTCAAGAAACATGATACATGATTCCATTTGTTTGCATGCATTTTCAATTTTTTTCTAAGTAATATTTGGAAATTGCAAACGTCAACTTTACTGCAGTTTCACACTGATCCCTACTGTATATACATATATACATATATACATATATATATATATATATATATATATATACATATATATATTTGAAACTTTTACAAGTGCTTGGGCACTCCCATTCTCATCACCTCCATGTGTGATGACACAATACCCTTGGCCCTGAGTGGCTTATTCTCCAGGTCCCCTCACATGGTAGCCTTCCACTCTCAGCTTTGAGCAATGGTCCCATTCTCTGGTTCTCAGCTATGGAGAACAAAGTCTCTCTATCTCATTTGTTATCAAATCATCTTTGTCCACCTGAGCAGCAGTCCCACTCTGTAGAAAGGGAGGAAGCTCTGGTTTCACACATTGGAAAACGTTGTATGTCATTGAGTCAATTCCTACTCATAGCGACCCATATAACAGAGTAATCTCGTCCTAGTGGGTTTCTTCAGCCATAATCTTTATGGGAATAAATTAGTAGTTCATTTCTCCAGTGGAGCTGTTGGAGGCTTTGGACCTCCAAACATTCAGTTGGTAGCAGGATGATCAGCCATCGTATCACCAGGACTCCTCTTTGAGTCCTAGAAGACATTTTTTTCCACCCTTTAACATAGAAGTAGAACTGGCCACCATGGCCCCTCCCACAAGTCTGCTGATCTCTATGATGCTGGAGGCTATGCCACTGGTGTTTCAAATGCCAGGAGGGTTACCCATGGTGAACGCATTTCAGAGGAGCTTCCAGACTAAGACAGACTGTGAAGAAGGAAGAGGCCATCTATTTTTGGAATAATTGGCTATTGAAAACCTTATGAATAGGAGTGAGATCCTGGCTGATATATTATTGGAAAACTTTATGAATAGCCCTTAAACATTGTCTGAAATAGTGCCTGAAGATGAGCTCATTAGGTCAGAAAGTACTCAAAACAGAACTGGGGAAGAGGTGCATCCTTAGAGTAGAGCCAACCTTAATGAGCTGGATGGAGTAAAGCTTTCAGGACCTCTATTTGATGATGTGGTACTACTCAGTATTAGAAGAAACAGCCACAAACAACTATTTATAATAAGAACAAGGAAAGTATGAAGGATGAAACTAGGGAAATTGGAAGTTGTAAAAAATTAAATGGAACATGTAAAGATCTATATCCTATGCATTACTGAGCAGAAATTGACTGGTTTGGCCATTTTGAATTAGACAACCATATGATCTACTATACTGAGAATGACAAATTGAAGAGGAATGATGTGGCATTCATTGTCACAAAACTTGGTCAAGATCTATACTTAAGTACAATGTTGTCAATGATAAGATAATATCCATATGCACACAGAGAAGACCAATTAATACTACTATTATTAAAATTTATGCACCAACCTCCAAAACAATGATGAAGAAATGGAACTTTTATATCAACTTCTGCTGTCTAAAATGGACCAAACATGAAATTGAGATATGTTGATTACCACTGGTGCCTAGGATGCCAAAGCTGGAAACAAAGAAGAATCCCTGGCAGTTGGAAAATTTGGCCTTGGTGATAGAAATAATGTTGGAGATCATGACAGAATTTCCACATGACAGACTTTTGCAAGACCAATGATTTATTCATTGCTAGCACCATTTTTCAAAAACCTAAATGGTGGCTATATACATGGACTTCTAAAATTGGAGTACATAGCAATCAGGTCGACTGCATCTGTGGAAAGAGGTGATGGAGAAGCTCAATGTCTTCAGCCAAAACAAGGGCAGGAGCTGTACGTGGAAGAGACCATTAACTGCTCATATGCAAGTTCAAGTTGAGGCTGAGACAATTAAAACAAGTCCACAAAAGCCAAAATAAGACATTGATTATATCCTTCCAGAATTTAGAGAGAGACAAAAGAAGAGATTTGATACATTGAACACCATTGTGTAAAAACTAGAGGAATTGTGGGATGGCATCAAGAACATCATCCATGAAGAAAGCAAAAGCTCACTAAAAAGAAAAGAAAGAAAGTCCAAAATGGATGTCAGAAGAGATTCTGAAACATGCTCTGGATCAGAGAGTAGCTAAAACAAATGGAAGAAATGATAACATAAAAGAGCTGAAGAAATATTTTGAAGAGCAGCTGGAGAAGACAAAGTGAATTGTAATGAAATGTCCAAAGACTTGGGGTTAGAAAACCAAAAGTGAAGAAGATGCTCAACTTTTCTCAAGTTGAAGGAATTGAAGAAAACAATCAAGCCTCAAGTTGTAATATTGAAAGATTCTATAGGCAATATATTGAATAATGCAGGAAACATCAAAAGAAGATGGAAGGAATACAGGGAGTCACTCTATCAAAAAGT